GACTTGTCGGATTTAAGGTAGTCTAAGCTAAATGTAAGTGAATGAAGAAAACGTTTGTTTAAACTAGGATACCTTAAATCCAACAAGTTATCTGGCTAAACAAGAAGTCCATCTTCATGATACAGGGCCCTGTTCTCCACTTAGTTCAGGGTACCCTAGTTTAAATGGAATTTATCATCATTCACTTACATGTAGTCCAGGCCACATCTGGTGTTTACACGTAATCAGCCAGCAGTGTGCCAGACAGACTGCTGCAGACACGCTCACAACAGATAGGAACAAATGTGTACTATTTTGGGGTTTACAAACATTTTTGACTGTTAAACTTTATTCATTTTATCTGTGTAAAAATGTTAGTGGATGTACAGTTAGGGGAATTAAATCCAGTGGAAGCGAATTGGTCTGCTAACAGCTTTCAAAGTTACTGGAAACTCTAATCCACTAAGTTAGCTTTGCTAATTAGCGGTTAGCCGATTAGCAGATCCCTGTCCACTACTGCCTGGAACCTGCATCACCGGATGAAGATATCCCACAGGGTGGGCAGTGTTGTTCTGGTGATTTGCTCAGTGCACCGTATCACCTTCTGTGCAGTTCTGGGGTCTTCTGGGTCCTCTGCAGCTGCAATACCAGGCAGTGATGCTCCTGGAATGCACAGATCCCACAGTAGTGCTGTAGAAAGGTTTTTTTTCTGTGCATAAGAGATTAATTTCCTCAGCTGCCTCAGCTGATGCAGTCACTGCCTAGCTCTCTGCACTAGGGTGTATTCAATTCAATTCAATTCAATTCAATTCAATTCAATTCAATTCAATTATTTTCATATAGCACCTTTCACAACAGTCACCCCAAGGTGCTTTACAGGTGCGTTCTAATACATTACAACATCATTAAGACGGAATAATACAAAAACAGGGGAAAGGAAAGATAAAGAAATGAAAGAAAGCCAGATGACAATGGATGAGTGGAGCCAAAAACTCAACAGTAGGGAGAATAAGAACCTCATGATAACGTTATAGGAAAAGAAAGAGTGGGCTTGCTTGCTAAAATCAAGCTGTAGACTGTGATCGAGGTCAAAGCCATCAATGAGTCAGATCTCCATGCCGGCCTGTGTAGGGTGGCAGACTGAAATCTGTACTCACGGCGTTAAAGTTTATAAGTCACATCCACAATGTCAACCCGTCCATGGGACTGAACCTGGACTCCAGCTGAGATGGTGCCAACCCTGGTGGTCAGAACATGCACTGACATATTAATGGACAAGCATGGTAGATAAAAATGTATGTACACCAGCAGCCATAGATGCAGTGTGTTATGTGTTAAGTTGCAGGTAAGCTAGACTGAAGTAATAGATCTTCAGATGACACCAATTCGACATCTCAAACATAGGCTTTACCACCAACTATCACTTTATAAGTGGAACAACAAAGAAACATGCGTTCTGTGATCTGAGTGAACAATACGGCTTGTAAACTTGAAGTAATTATGTTAGGTAGGCAGGTGTTAGACCTTTTAAGCGTCTTATATGTAAGTAGGGGAACTTTGAAGTCAGTCCTGAACCTAACAGGAACCCAGTGCAGGGAACTAAGATCAGGGGTTATGTGTTCAAACATCCTGCTCCTGGTGATAATTCTGCTGCACCTTGAATACGCTGCAGGGTGTTTAATGTGCAGCATGTGCTCCCAGATAACAGAGCATCACAGCAGTCTAACCTACTGTATACAAAGGCATGGATCAATTTCTCAATGTCTTGAATAGTAAGGAATCATCATAGCTGGGCAATGTGATGTAGCTGTAGGAAGCACAGTGTTGATACTGCATCCACGTGCGATTTTAATGACAGGCTTATGTCTACGGTGACACCTAGGTTATGGGCTGAGCTGGTGAGGGAGAAGTTCAGCCCCTCTGAGTGGTGTGTGGAGATAGCAGCACGCCTATCCACAGACCTGCCTCCAAACAACAGAAGCTCAGTTTTCTGAGCATTTAGTAATAAAAAGTTTTCAGTCATCCAGGTCTTTACTTCACTAAAGCAATTAGCTAAAGTGACAATAGATGTAATTCCATTAGTGCCATTCCTCCTGGGTACATTTCTCTGTAGTGCTAATGAAATTAGCGGTGTTAACATTAACACTATTAGTTTCAAAGTATCTATATAAAAGTTGTTTATATCATTTACCAGGGAGGGTTAATCCTCTGTAGTCCATGAATGTCAAAAATCCCTGCATCTGCTTGGTGTGGATGGTACACCATGACATCATGTGCAATATACAGATTCGCATATCTGTTCCATTAATTCCACAAAGGTAAATTTAACAGATACTTTAATTTTGAAATTTTGTCTTTAAACGTTAAAAAGTTGGGGCAGTGTGGTGGTGCAGTGATTAGCACTGTTGTCTCACACCGCTGGGACTAGGGTTCCAGTCCCTATGTGTGCAGATTTTGCATGTTCTCACTTTGCCATTGCAGGGTTTTCCCCCCAAACTGCCCCCCACCATGACTCTGAACCAGACAAACAGCTACAGAAAATGGAAGGATGGGTTAAAAAAAATCAATTAATTAATTGGTGGATGTATTACTGGATGTCAAAGTATATCGATCTGTTTATCTTTATGGTTATCATACTTTTAAAAATCAGGGTCAGCTCCTGTTGTCCCAGTCTGTGTCCCTTCCCCGTTTTGCCGGCAGGCGTTGCTGGTCATCCCGTCTCTCCTGTTGTCCCAGTCTGTGTCCCTTCCCCGCTTGGCCGGCAGGCGTTGCTGGTCATCCCGTCCCTCCTGTTCTCAGTCTTTGTGTTTTCCTATGCTCCCTGTCAGCCGGATGGCTTAACTTGTTGAGCATACAACTGCCTGTGAACCCCTCAGTCTTGTGCTTGAATTCCACCTCCTCTGTTTTTGTATTTTGTTCCCTAGTGTTTCATTTGTATGAGTTTTCTTGTTCCTGTGTCTTGTGATTTGTATTTGGTTTTGGATCCATGCTTTGTGCCCGTGCTTGTGTTTTTCCCTGTCTTATTCCCCTGGTGGAGATTCTGTTTTCTCTGGTTTGAGTTCCCTGAGTTTAATTATTAGTTTCAGCTGTTGCCTATTTTTGTTCCTGCCCTTCTGTGTTTACCTGATTGCTCCTTGCCCTGCCAGTAGTGTTGCTGTGGCGTTCCTAGTGTTTTCAGTTTAATAAACCCCAGTTTCCCTGCAAGCCGCAAGTGGGTCGTCCACATTTCTGCCGGCATCATGCCTCGGCACCAAATCCATCCGAGTCCGTGACAGACTGATTATATGAAGAATATGCTTCCCTGGTTCTACTGACGGTGGAAAAATATCCCGGATGAGGTTCTATGTTTTCCTCAGAGCTTCATAGATCCCAATCCAAATAAGGAAGAAAAAAACACTAATGCTTACAAATGCTAGCAGGCTCCGAGTCTCTGCTTCCCACTGAAAAACATATCATATTACTACAAGAAGGCAAAAGATGCTGACACTTCCTCTTTCATAAGTGTACTCTGTGTTTCTTCCAGTTGGCAGGGATCCTAAGAAACCAACAATAATCTTTCCCTTTGAATGATTCTTCTTTTGAATGTTTCTTAGTGGAAACTAAAGAAGACTTGGCATATAAAGCAGCCCTGCACAGCAGGTTTGGTGTTGTGTTATACACAGTATTAGCATTGGTTTCATCTTTGCCCTGACCCTAGTGTGGCACTTCAGCCGTCACAGAGCACTGCTGATGTTTGATGAAGGCGCTTCACTGTATCTTTGGCTCTTCAGACGGCCCTTTCAATAAAAATGCAAAAATTAAAAGCAAAAAAACCTGCAAAAAGCTTCATATACTATATGCGACCCACAGAAAATCAACTCTTCGGATATATTTAATTGTAAGATTATAAGCCACCAGTGAAGAAAGATGATCATTGCTTAGGAGGCATCGCTCATCACCGGCAAACTGCACCGCACAGGTCCCAGGTCGGCCACTTTGTAGCAGTGAGCCAAAATACCCTTTTTGGTAATTCCTCCCTTAGCAGAACGGTGCCAATTTGTTTCACTGCCAGGGGCTCCTGGTCACAATTGGCAAATGACATGAAACAACTGAGATCAGAACCATAATCTCAGCTGTTGAGCCCAAGGCCAAACTGCACAGGACGACTCTTTCAGGGAAACTGACAAATGGTGTTATGAAATAAACCAGGCGATTTACATTATCAGGACACCTGGATGCTTGCTTGGAAAGGACTTTTCCACCTATTTATTTTTACTTTCTTCAAAGGTTCATTCCCTTTCCTTCACAAGGTCTCACCTCCATTTTGAATTAAAAAAATGCACATATGTATTTCCCCTGCAGTGATTTACGGTTTCGTACAATTGGGGCCAAGGGGGACAGAACAGCAGCTGAGCACTAATCTAATGAGGCTTCACCACAGAGCCCAGCATGAAGGCCAGCATGTGCAGCCAAATGACTGATTCATCTCAATTGACAATCAGCTGATTTCAGTTACACCGTGTTGCTGAAGATGATGCAGACGAAAGCTCCCCATATCAGAATGGCAGGGCACAGCCATGCCTCGGGTTCAATAATGCCAGTGATTATATCCATCCCCAGGGTCAATCTGCCCTTTCTGTGTGGATTCAGACTGCTTGTTTTTTCTGTTGCCGGTGGAACATTCCATATGTACTCCGGATTCTAAAGTTTGTTGACAAGATCGATCAGATTTGAATGGAAAACGTACTGTCAGTATATGGTAATTCATATGTCTTCTCTATTCCATTCTATGCAAATTCAGAACAGATACTTGATGTCACATTTTATCCGAAGAGAGGTAAGCAAAAGAAAAAATAAGGGATAAGGAATTTTCTTCAGTTTTCTGCAGTTGTTATGAGTACAGAATAAGCAATTTCCCATTTCAAAAAACAAAAGAGAAATCAATACACTGAGTTTGCTCTGAGTATAAATTTATTGTAAAGGTTGACAGAAAGTATACTATAATTTCCTGGTATATTTAATATACATTTCTATGATGGCATTATATATGATTTTATGTGTAGATATTTTGTACATATTTTATCACTTTACTTTCCCCACATATTTCTATCTCTTCAAAAAAACTGTTTCTTATTATATTCATACATACTAGGTGCTGGTGCTGCTCTTGTGAACTCATAGCACGTCCCTTGGCTCTATTTATGGTGCAAATCAGGTCTTCAGTTCTGTGTAGTGCCCAGCAGTGGATCTCCACAGGTCTTGGCAATCTGGTCACCAGTGGGAGCACCAACCTGCTGCTCCAGGTCTAAACTGACACAGATATACATTCCTTCCCCACAGAGCCAGTGTTTTAGTGTTTAGTGTGAAGAGGTTTGCATCTTGCTTAGCAAGTGAGCTAAACAGCACAATTTAGCAAACAGATCCAGCTCCTTGCAAATTTTACAGGGTTGAGAGCTTTCAAAAGCACTCTCTGATTATTTAAACGTGTATATCCTTATAGTAATGGATGTATCTCTGTATGACTGTGACTTTGTGCATACTCATTAAATGTTCAGATATTTATGTACAAGATAATTAGGTGTGACAGGTGCATCTTGAAGCATTTTTTTTAGAAACCTCCACAACGCCACATGTCCAGTGTCCACGCTGAGAATCTGCATCATTGAATGATACACTTGTCAAATCATCTTATCCAATTTTATAATGTGGATACATGCAACAGTGTAAATTAAAGGCATGTTATACGGAAGGATTTCCTATAAGGAACGAGAAGGCAGGAAAATAAATGTAAGGTAGAGGTCAATGAATAACTATATGGAGACTGAATCCTCAATTCTCCAGGGTGACTGTAGGCTAATTAATAATTAATGCCAGAACCAGTGTGTTTGAAATGCAGATGTGATAACTGCGGGCTTGACACAGTGGTTCAGAGGAGGCAGATTTGCAAGCTACAGGGAATTGGCAATCCCCAGTTAACGGGCTATGGCAGCAGACCTGGGTGCAATGCAGGGCCGATGGTTTAGATTAGATTCCCTTCAGCTGCTAATTACCTGAACACACTTTGAAGTTCCTTCCTCTTCAGAACTGGTGAAATGAGTAGTTGGTTCAGTCAGGGGACTTGGGGAGATGATCAAATGGATACACTGAATGGACAGATGAAGAATAAGAGAGAAAGAAAGAAAAGGAAAGAGAGGGGGAGATGGATCTTTGGGTGTGGAATCGGACACAGAGTCTCACAACACATTTTCTCAGATTTTTGCCCTTGAATTCACATAGCCTTAGATTTATGAATTTGAGAACTGGTCTTTCTAAAATATCCTTCAAAGCACATAAAGATAACCCACACAAATAAGAATCACAACTAATAGTTATATTCCTGCATTGTACATCAAAACATTAAAATCTTACTTTGCTATAAATTGTTGACAACTACAATGACAATGAGTCACTTAAGTTCTCAACAATAGAGGCATGTACAGTATGGTTAAGGATTTCTACTTGTAACGTAAAGGTTGCTGTAGTTGTATAAATGTATATAAGGACATAGGAAATGTGCCCAGTTTGCCATATATAGGTCTGCATTTCAGCTGACCAGCACTGCAATTCTGTTTACACAGGATAATGCACACTGAACCAAAAAACAACGTTTTTATAATTATTCATACAGGAGCATTAAAAGGGCTACGGACATTCTTAGATTTAACAACTTCCACCAACTATCAAGAATACTAAGAGAACATATTCTCACTAAAACATAATTTTTAGTTGATAACACTTGAATTTCTCCAAAATATGTTACACCAGAACATGAGTCAATGTGTACTGTGTATTGAGCCTTGGGTTGACTCTGGCTGCTCTATGGACACTGGATATTGCCTGACTTTCATTCTGACTACCCCATCTCCCCACAGAAGAATGAAATAGCCTTATGATATTCTAACCTAGCCTATTTGCCAAATTGTTTCATTTTCCAGTTTGCATAATTCATTCTGGAAATGTGCTTGTAATCCAAAGCACTCGTATATCAAAGCAAATTTTCCCATAAGAAATAATGAAAACTCAGATGATTCGTTCCACAACCCAAAAATATTCATATAAAATGATTAATACAAAATATAAAATAAAAATACATAAAACATATTAACCTGCACTTTACCAATCGTGGATGGTGTGAGGGAGATAAGAGAGAGGAGAAGAGAAGGGTTATTTTGTAGGACGACTTTCACTGTAACTAACGGAATCACTGCTATCTGTTGGCTCACTGGAATCTTTTTCTTTTTGTGCGACTTTAACAAGGAACCTATCCAATGGCAGCTGCTTTTGCCTCCTTTTCGATTTTGCGGAAATGTGGACATTGCATTGTCGTTAAACAGATTCATTGCCTGCACTGCTACAGCCTTATTCGGGTGGTGCTTTTCTACTAAATTTTGACTATACGAGTGAGGCACGCCGACTGAGACCGAGCATGGGAGACGATTACCCACAATCCCGCAGCGAGAGAAGAACCATCGGCTCAGTTGTGATCACGTAACGCTAGGCGTATACATAATACTCATATTGCAAGACCTCACTTGTTTTATCAAGTTAAAATTTATTACAAATTTTTGCTCGTCTTCCAAAACACTCGCAGACTGTTACTCGCAATCCAAGGTTTTACTGTCTGTTTGTGTATGTATATGTGTATCTGTGTGTGTATGTGTGTATATATATAATATATATCCTCCTGAGACCCAAGGAAAAAAGTGTCCTTCAATTTTAGGTTATTTGTCTTTGGAGGAAATGATATCTTACAATTTAGATTTTTTCAAATTTATTTTTATTTTTAATTTCACAGCATGTCCTCTTTAGTGTACAACAGGAATAAATACGTTTCCTTACATCAGTGAAANCAATGGACATAAATGAATGGGTGGGGTCTCAGGAGGATATATTATATATGTGGTTGTTTTTAGTCAATTAAATCAGTTGATTCGGATTTAAAATTGGAAATCAGTGACAATGTCAGACGCAGCTGACAAATTTATGCATGCAACAGAATTTTATACTCATACATAGAATGGTTTTGGTAGACCGATTTTTAATTTCAACAAAACTGTCAGGTGTTTATTAAGCAAACGTAACAGAATGACACTGAAATATTTAAGGTTCCATATCTAACCTTCAGGCTAGACTAATGCTACATTATGTTTTGACTTTGTTGCTTCACCTGCTGCTTTTCAGGAACTGAGCCTAGACCACATGAATTTACATTCAGTTGTCTTTAAGACCTGCACAGCAAAATTTCAGTTTCAGAGGTGATTAAATTTTCCTGATTTTAATGTTGCTTTAACGTTAATATAATACACCTGTATCACATTTTGAAAGATGTACTTTAAACACTTGCATCGCGTCCCTCTTCTCTCCCATACCTTCATGGTTCAGTTGACTGTATTCTATGCCTTAGTTCTTTGTATTGGTGGAGAACAGGAGGGATGTCAAAAGGATCCTCTGCACTTTGCTTTTTAACATGGGTGTGAAAGAGAGACGTAAAGCTGTGAGCTGAAGTAGTGATAATGTGTGGTGCTGTTTATGAAGCTCATTGCATGTGTGGCCAGAATGAAGTCCTATCAATGTTACAACTGTTCTAAAATGCTAAATAATTTACTACTACTACTACTAGGCTATTACTGCTGCTATAGTCTAGTAGAAGTAGTAGGCCTAGTAGTATTAGAAGCAGTAGTATTTTTAAGTCTCAATTTTCCTCTTGTAAATTAATAAATTAGCAAATTATACTTTTAATAAGTAAATAACTAAATAAACGCATGAGGCCCATGCCTGTATTTATCTTGATTACTGGTAGCTTTTTATTACTTCAAACATTATTATATATAATTTAGGCCTACACATTATTCAAGATGATTAAACGAGCGATAATATAAGTCATTAAAGCGTTTTCCGTCGCAAAATATTTTGTCAGCTTAGGTCTATACGATGTTATTTTTGAGTAAGAAATGTCTACTGCATATGTTTTTTCGAAGCTAGTTTGACCTACTTCACTCTATTTCAATTTTTTTAAACTCTACCTACCACCGCAAGCCGGGAACTGTGTAGTTTCCACAAGCAGTCATTAGTACTGTAACGGAACTATTTTAAGAAATAAAAAACAATTAAGGTTGCCTACAACATATATTTTCCACATTGTTTATATTGAAATGAATATGCTAAATTACATTAAAATGCCATACACCTATTAAAGAAGCACTTTCATAACCACGTTGCAGCCTTTTTGATGAGTGACGGCTATTTTGCATATTCATATACGTCATATTTCGTGCGCTGAGCAGAGGGATTCTTATTCCACCTGTAGTACAGTAGTAAATTAATACTTGAAGTATTAGCCTGCGTTCATATTTATTCAAACTATGCAGTAGCACAAACAAAATTCGCCACACTGTACTGAATGAGCGGTCATTGAATGGATGGAAAGAGAAATAATCTAGAATATATTCATTAAAAACGTTTTAATATAATTAAAAAGTAAGTAAGGCACCAAATCATCGAAATATACATGCTTCTGTTAAATAGTTTTGTAGTAGGCCTACTTGTTTGCGGACTTGCAGATTGGAGCGATGGTTTGGGATATTGCAAGCAAAATAGCGAATACCTATGAACAATGGTACGCATAACAGGCAGGGTCTGCGCATGGATTTACAGTGTTAATTGTCTTTCACTAAGCTGTTTTCGAAAGACCTAAAAAGCATTTAATGTTGGGGAATTTTCTCCATTATAATAAAGTGTGCGACACGGAGGAGTATGAAGACTCTCGCTCTCAGAATAGAATCGTTTGTCAAATCACTATTACTGTCCTTAAAACAAAATAATAGCCTAATTACGTTGGCCTATGTGACTGCAACCAAGACACTAGTTCCATGGATGGATTGCTATGACACATCTTATTCGTTCAAGAAATAAACATGGAACGACAGAGAACAGCTTAGCCATACCATGAAAGTAAAACAGCAGCGAAATACTTTGTAGCGCTGGGGAAACGAACTGAACACGGCGATTAAGAAGATGACTCCAGTGAAAATGATGATTAAGTGCCGACACAATGATTTTATCCAGTGCAATCCCACGCAAGTTTACGCTGAGATGTTCAGATTATTTTTTCCCTTTATTTTCGTACGTACCAACATTTTAATTTGGAACGTGTCTTGATGCGCGTGCCGGTATTGTTGTACATATATACAACTCTGCAGGGGACTTTCTAGCTACTGAAAAGATCAGGAGGCAAGTCAAGGTTTACTTTTTTTTTTTTTTAAGGAAGATTGGCATCGTTGCTAAAATAGTCAGGGCTTAAAATACTCCGGGCTATAGGCCCGAGTGATCGGACTTAACGACGCACACACACATATAGTGTGTGTGCGTTTGCAACTCTGTATACCTGCACCAATTGTATTTAGAATGTTTACATGACGATATTCAATTAGAATGATCTTCGAATACAAATCTGATGTTTTTGTTAGAATAATTGTATAATTCAACTCGCTGTTACCTATATGTGTACAATGAATCATCTGCCTTTCTACCACATAAATTTGTTGATAAATTTATTAGAAATATTAGCAAATTATTAATACTAGGCCTAATATATCCTGAAAAGCATGGCAAAATAATGTACTATTATAAAAAATATATAAAATATGAGTTGAATTAAAATAATGAGTTTGCTATGGGTACAGTATCAAATAAAAGAAAAAGATCATCCCATTCAATGTGTGCCATGAGTTTGTGCTCTGTGCTGCCTGCTGTAGACTTCAGCCCCTCCCAAGAACCTGCCCTGGAAGGATGAATGGATGGATACAAGATAAAAAAAATCACACAACCCAATACTACTGGAAAGGCTGGGATATGAAAGCCACATTTTACATGTGCATATAGTTTCTACTGGAGTCAATGATATAACTTGTTTCGGGCAAAAAAAATATAGCAATGGACGCTGGTGCCCACTGGGGCTCTGCTACCCACTGAGTTTGTTCTGACACCCAGGTCTGACTCTTTGCCATTCATTGTTACTGAATTCCTTAAACCATTGTTTCAATAGCAAAAAGTGTTTTGAATTTTTATTTCTTTTGGATATAAAGATCTTTATATCTTTTAAAATATTTCGGCTTTTAGCATACACTATAGTTGCACAAAACAAGTATGTGCAACTGGAAACGCTGTTTTTTTTTCCAATTACCAGAGGCCACCCTAAAACAGTTTCGTTCACGTGCTTGCGCCTATTGAAATGTGCGTTCTACAGTAACGTGCGTATCTTGTTTTTTCAAATTTTTTTTGCCTTCATAACACTCGGAGTATAAATCTTAGTAACGAAAGGCTTAAAAGTGTGGGCGCCAGGTTTTGACACTGAGAAGGCCGACGCCTTTAAGCAAAACCTTTCTACTCTGACTTTCATGCGGTATTGAAAACAGCAGCTCAATCCTTTAAACCAACACGCGACTTTTAGATACAGATAATATTTACAGTCTGTTGAAATGAACAGTGTCTTTATTGGAGTGTTTATTTCATTAAAGTATTTTTCATCGTGCTTTACACTAGGCCTAAATCACCCATCCTTCCATATTCTAAGCGCTTTTCCTGGTCAAATGAATGTCGCCTATATGCATCGGTTATTTGTGCTTTGCCGGTACTGAAAGGGGAGGTTTAAATAATGCAATTTTAATGTTTAAATTACAATAAATTACCTTGAGCGTTTGTATAATAATTACAATCATTTGAGCTTTTGCGTTGATTCTTTTAATATTGTATAGACTACATATAGTGTGTGTGCGTTTCTAAGTACTCGCTATCAGACTAATGTGAATAATCTGTGCAAGCAAATAACATACAAAAAGTAGAGTTCTTAGTAGCCTATATACAACAATTTTCTAATTAACAAATTAAGATTGTGCTGCGATGTTTCACCTTATAGGTGGTAATTTTATATCTTGCCCAGCTCCAGAAGTTGTTGAAGTTTGTTGTAACAGTAACGCAAGATACTTTTCATATTATTTTCTTTGGTGTCCAGTCAGGGCCTTCCCTTTGAATGAGTCGCCTTACTGTGCCCGGTACTGGGATTTGTTGGCCGCTGCAGGCTTTTATTACGTTCTCCATGGAAACCCGGATCGTGGGGAAAAAATGTGGAGCCTGAATAATGAGAATCACCACAAGCAAAGGCTTGAGAGCAGCATCTGTTACACTTGGAAACTTAGCCTATCGAGAGGATAGCAGCAAACCCCCACTCCACATCGCCGCCTTCATCTACTTTCACTTACTGGCTGTTTATATGCTATTACTTACTGGCTGTATATATTTCAATATAAATAACCTTTTTCAGTACAAAATTCTTGCCAATACATACGCTTATACTAAATATTTTTAACATGACAAATCACTCAAAAAATATTATTAAAATAAAATTTGAAAATAAACCACCCCCAAGAGCTTCGAATCAGTTAAATAAGCTGCACATCACAAAAAAAAATGTTTCTAAAAGGAGAAGTATATATGTATGACGATAAATATGGCGTACATTTTTATTCAGATTGTTCCTAAATATGCTAAACGATTTTTTGCACTCTGTTGTATGATCGTGAGTATCTATCAAAAAGATATTTGGATAAACAAACGAGAGATGCAAAATAAGTTTTTACTATTACAGTATATTCCGCATAACTACACTTTAGTAAGTTCTTGGGAAAGAAAAATAAAACGTTAGTTTTCATTGCATTCATAGGTGTTAAGCGATTAAAATTTAAGCTCCCTACTTTTCCGTTGTCCGTCCAGTTTGTGTCAGAGGGCATTGACTCTGTGTTAAGGCAAACAGCTACGATTTCTTTAGGTTTTGATAGCAAACTCACCTGTTCTTGTGTGAGCTTCTGCACAATTTCCTCGTGTTCAATGAGAAATGACGCTCTTTGATGACTGGTGGCTGGTAGCCTTCTTTTATTTATGCTAAATGTATGAAAATGTATGCAAATTTAAATCAAGCTTAAATTGCAAGCTCTTGTAACATATTTGATGGAATTTAAAACCAATAAAAAATACTCGGCTGTAGAATTATAAAGGGAAATATAATCACGTACAAAAGTAATGGCAGTATATATTAGGGGAAAATTTAAATTATATACAGCACAGTTATTACCACTTTTAAATTAATTGTCCAATAGCCGATTCAAACTACAATGATTCTATTGCAATATGCATGTATATATAGTATATATATGTGTGTGTGTGTTTACGTCATACTAATAGTTCACTTTACATTTGTATATGCATTATTTCTGTTTAAATCTATTAATTAAAATCCCCGTTGAATAATTGTTATTCCTCCACGTGTTTGAAGTTTTAAAACGGGTTTCCTCCTTAAACAATTAATAATCAGTAGCTTTTAAAACCAATACTTACACACAACGGGAGACGTACAATAAAAAAGACTTATATGACTGAAGTGAAGCGTCTGAATTTATGTCTGTTACACAGTTTTAAGGAACGCAGCCTATGAAATAAGTCGCTTCCTGTTTTGTGTTAGTGTAGCTGTTTTGTCTCCAGTAAGACTCATGTCTGGGGAGGGGAGGACAGCCTCGTTTCGCTATTGGTTTCGACCGGATCGAGCTTTGTTCCGACTGGTACAGAGAACCGTCAATTATAAACTGGCTGCTGATTTGGCTGCCTAAGCAGAGACATGTCAAAGGCTGAAGCCGTTCCCTTTGCAACATTTTTACTACTACATCAAGCATGGCCACAGCTGCCTCCAATCCCTACAGCATTATCAGTTCTATGGTTCAGGCAGACTCTTCGGTCATGCAACAAGGGAATCCCTTTAGGAATCACCAGAAACTTCTACAAAGCGACTACCTCCAAGGAATTCAGAGCAGTGGACATCCTATTAGCCATCAGTGGGTAAGCAGTTTATCTGAGGGAAATCCGTGGTCAGCATCTCTGTCGGGCAGCCCTTTAGAGCAGCAGGACGTGAAACCGGGGCGAGAAGACCTCCAACTTGGGGCAATCATTCATCACAGATCTTCTCATGTCGCCCATCACTCACCCCATTCCAATCATCCAGGTGCGTGGGGAACATCCGTGTCTCACAACTCATCTCTAAACACCGGGGGGCAACCGATTAACATTTATACGCAGGGCGGTTTCACGGTCAATGGCATATTGGACCACGGAGGTCTTACGCCTCCCTCGAACTCTTTAGAAGACCAGGGCTTGCATCTGGGAATAAGAGACAACCCAGACCACGTCGACATCGGGGGACACCACTGTCATGACCACTCCGATGAGGAAACACCAACCTCGGACGAATTGGAGCAGTTCGCCAAACAGTTCAAACAAAGGCGGATCAAGCTCGGCTTTACGCAGGCAGATGTGGGTCTTGCTCTGGGCACTTTATACGGCAATGTCTTTTCACAGACGACCATCTGCAGGTTCGAAGCCTTGCAGCTTAGTTTTAAGAACATGTGCAAACTGAGACCTTTATTGAACAAGTGGTTAGAAGAGGCGGACTCGTCCACCGGCAGTCCCAGCAACTTTGACAAAATCACTGCGCAAGGAAGGAAAAGAAAGAAAAGGACGTCGATAGAGGTGAGCGTGAAAGGGGCGCTGGAGTCGCACTTTCTTAAATGTCCCAAGCCGGCAGCCCAGGAAATATCCTCTTTGGCTAACAGTCTACAGTTGGAGAAAGAGGTGGTTCGTGTCTGGTTTTGCAACCGACGACAAAAGGAGAAAAGAATGACTCCGGGGGAGCAGCAGACTCACGAGGTATATTCCCACAAGATAAATACGGACAGTGCTGCGTGCCGTGATCTCTGACTAAAGGACGGGGATTTACCCACCAAGACTGACGACGACAAAAATGTAGTGGATTTTCTTTTATATGTTTCATTTGTAATTTCTGGTGGTGCGGTGATGGCAACGATCAGAGGCGACTATATAAAAACGAACTTACCGTTTTCTCACGTCGGGGCAACGTATCCACACAGACTGATGTTTAATCTATTTTATAAAGGAAACATTTTATTACCAAATTAAAATATTGATTCATTGATTTTATAAAGAGAAATCTTGACTGAAAGGATTTACACGAAATTGTGCCCGATGGCATTAGAGAGTGTTTAATATCGGGACGTACACACACACACACACACACACACACTCATTTAAATATAAAGTTCTATTTCTTTGTAGCAACGAATAAAGCCAAATTAAATATTTGGGGGATACATACACGTCCTCCCTGGTTCCTGCACCCCGACTGTGCCTATTAATAACTTCCCAGCGCCTATGTATTAGGTGTTTCGATTTAATTACAGTATTTTTGGTACTTCGGGTTTGGCTAGATGAAAGGATAAGGGGTTTTACAGATAGTATTCAGTTTCGAACCAAAAATTTCCAATTTTAGTCTAGCGTATTTATTATTTAGAGTTCAAAAACTTTCCTCGCTGCAACACTACAGTGAAGCTTTTATAGCATTACGTGGTTAGTCACTTTATGAAACTTTAAACTGATGTCCCAGACGTATCGTTACACTTATTTATAAGGCATGTTTATCAGATTAACGCTACATGTTATCGATATACGGGACAGATGTATATTTAAACAGTGCGTCCGGCTTCCTATGGGGCCTATAGCATAAACAAGAAAAATAACACCATCCAAACAAGGTTTCTGTAATGAAATAACAAAGCTTCAAAGGCATATTATTTGGCTACAATTTTCTTCTCAAATGCTAAATTTTGAATATAGTTCTGTCCTCGACCACAATACTTTCGTGTATTTTTTGGTACTAGCACAGAACCATAAGTTATTTTACAATGTAACCGCATTGGAGTGTATCTCATTATTCTGCCTGAAGTTTTATAAGCCTCGATTCTAGTATTATTGATGAATTTCTTTAATATTTTCCAATTTGCTATTGTACAGTTTTGTATAGAACCTTAAAAAATTAATTTAAAAATGCATTATAGTTTAATCATGTATTTAGTGATGTAAAATAAACACTATTTTCATTACAAACTGGAGTTTTTTTTTTATTTCAGAAGCAAGTACTTCTTTTTCACAATTTTACCATCCATTTAGCCTAAAATTTCGTTGCAGTACTGTTGTGTGAGGGGGCCACATCCGTTCGTTGGTAATGCACCCCAGAATTTATTTTTTTTTCCCCGAGACCTTTTCAGATATGTTTACTATTTTGAAAAGGACAATTTAACTTAAATTAAGGACTGTCAGTCTGTGTACGTTACGGAGTCACTATAAATGTTTTGTAATAACAGGGACTATAGGAAGGCATTCAAATTAGTTTTAATTACTGCTATTATTTATTACTGCTCTCCATTCCATAAACTTCTCATTTTAACTATGATGAAACAATTTTTAGACTAAAATACGAGCTAAAAGATCTTTTGAAATTCTAAAAATATAGTATATTATACGTTGTACTCAATTCCTCTAAGATGCATTTTATTTAGGTCAATATGTAATTTTATTATACATTATTGATAGCAGTAGTATTTAGTGTCGGATTTATCAGAGCTTGTGAAAAAAGTATTATTGTTCCCGATACCTCTGCACGAAAGTATAATATAGCAACTGAGATTTGATCGAGTAAGCTTTAAGCGCCAAAAGTTTCAACAGGTTCCTTGGTCAGATATATTAATACGTAAATAATTATTCAATAATAATGCCTATAATAATAATGCCTATAACGTATATTTTAGACATTTCACTATATCTATTAAACTAAACTACAGGATTCTTTCGGTTTTACCCATTGAGTTTTATTAAAAGATACAACTTTATTAGGATTCTATTATATGAAAAGCTGAATAAGGAAATATTGAAATTTCAGTTCATTATTCATTTATGATACTTCTGAAAATGTATGCATTGTCTGTCTTTTCTAAGCAGTATGCCTAAACTCCGAGTGTTCGCGAAATTAACAAAATTCGATTACTGTTAACCAATAAGCGATCACACTTTACAGGACTGTAATTAGTATTTTAGTGTATTATACGCAACTTTGGCGTCATTCCGTGGAATTACACCGGAGACACGATTCGATATTAGGTCTAAATGTATATATTAATTATACTGAGAATTGCAGAAAACGGCATACACATGAAATACGCAGATGAATAGGCTACTTCACGTAACGCTTTATTTATCTATTTATTCGTTTTTTGTTTCTTTTGTTATTAAATTAATCATCACTTCAGGCCCACGGGTGGTTAACATTTTACCTCGTACTTTGACACTCCTTATGGTGTATAGATGACATTTTAAACTGAATGTGACACACAACAGCTGTGGGTTGGTCAAGGGGAACAATCATTTAATACATGACGTAGTGGTATTGTCTGCCAACTTTCTTTTTCTATAGCAATGGTTTCTATTATTTCCACAATAATTTCGTAAGGAAACAATAGGGCCACCTTTGAAACAAAGAACGAAAGAGAAAGCGATCCCAAACCATGGAGACATCATGGAAACCGGTAAAAAAAATAAAAATAAATAGGCAGGTCTAAATACAACAAGTTGAGGTGGGCAGAGCACACGGTGGCGGAGTTGGCAGGGGCAAAGGGGGAGTCCTGGGCTGGTGTCAGACCCGGATGTCACAGACGTCACAAACACAGCGAGATCATCAAAGAGAAGCAAGACCTAAAGGGTAAATGTATAGAAGGATAATCTAGAACGGGGAGCATTAGCAAGATCATCCTGGGGCCGGTCAAAGCCGGGATCCCATTCATGCAGTTTACTTTTTGTTTGTCCCCAGTCACCATATAAAATTGTAAGTCTTTTCTCTTACACGGTGAATGGGCCCCAGACACTAGTGCCTAAGCTCCACGTGGATCTTCCACAACTCCATTCACGTTTTGTTTTGTTACACGTGTTTACGCGGCGTTGGTATCGAAATGGCCCACTTCTGTTCTATTTACTGCTTTTGTTAAACATATTTCCACTGCTGTCCACGGATAAATATGAAATTCCCTTCTTCTTTCCCAGTGTATTTGGCTCTTGCTCACCATCCCACAAGGACCAAGTCCTTCACAGGTATTACATGCTGTTAGCTGATTTAGTCTAGAGCAAAGGATTCAACGAAAAATATAAAATCACTAGGTATGTATACGGACAATCCAAAAAGGTAATAATACCAACTGAAGTAATGAGCCCACAAATGTAAAGGAGTTGATAGTGCAGCTAGTGTCACGATCCGCTCCGTCCGCTCCTAGTGTGTGCCACGCCCCCTCATTATCCACGTGTGCTTCCCCGATTGTGCCAGCTGTTTCCTGTTTCTTTTGCCTTGTTCTGTGTATATCAGTCCACGTCTCCCCTTGTTCCCCAGATTGAGCATTGTAGTGTCAGAGTGTTGTCCGTCTTTTGTGCATTAAACTCAGTTTACCTGACGTTCTGGCTGCACTTCGTCTGCTTCCCGACTCGCCCGTCTCCGAACGTGACAGCTAGTTTGTAATATAAAATAATAATAATATGATGTACTATTGTGCACTAGGTCCTTCCTTTTTACTTAATCTGATAAGGAAAAAAAATAAAAATTTCAAACGATCTGTCACAGAAACAAGTGCTTGTTCCTGCTGGAAACGGCGTGGGCTGCTTTGAATGCTGGGAAGTGTTTTTTTCTTTTTAATTTTACAGGAATAGAATAATAAAACAGATAGAGGCAAGTGATGCCCAAAGTGAACGTGCCCCGAGGCTGGGCCCTGCTTTGGATGTCTCTCCAGCTCCTGGGAATCCTGTACCTACTCTGTCTACCTCTCATATAACCCTCTATGCAGCTCACCTGCTTTGCAAAATTAAAAGGCCAAAGATAAATTAAGGCATTTTAATTGTGAATGAAATATCATGTGACACATGTGGAGTGAAAATAAAAAAATGATTGGGTATGTATGAGTTAGAAAAAACAATTTCTCCCAGTTCTCGTTTTTTGTAATTACCAGTCACACCATAAATCTAACAGAGTATTACCCTTTCTGGAGGATCCCTTAGCTGCCCAGTAAAGGCATACAGCAGCAGGACTAGGCTAAACAACAGCACAGTTACAAGTGAGCTAAAAAAACACAAAACCATAAAACTGTGGATTACAGTAGCACAGTAAGCAAGGTGTCCCTTTATCTCCCTAAAACCTGCACTTGGTCCCACAATCATAAACAAAACCACTGTGCTTTGAAACAGACGCCACACAGACATTCAACAGAAAGTGACCATAACGTTTACAGTACCTACTGGGAAATGGTGCAGCTCATATCTGCAAACACTAGACGGAGGCACAGGGGAACTATTTGACAATTAATAACCACATAAAAATGGAAGCATGGACTTGCAGACAAGCAGTCATCTGCTTATTTGCTGTAGTACCTATAGATCTACCAATAACTTATCTAATACAGGGACGGGTGTTATATCTTTAGTTCTTTTGCTCCATTGTGTTCTATCATGAAATCACCAGAAGAATCATTGACAAGGTAAGTTTATGGGTAGTAATTCATTAGACCATGTTACTCAGTGGTATTTCATATTTACAACGTATCTTTCATCAGTCTGCTAGCTTCAAATACAACCCAGGGCTTCTGGATTAAAGTACAGATCAGAGATTATAAAACAACTTGTATCCAAGTACTTTGTTTTAGTGGAAATAACTATGATAAATAAAGTATGATAAAATAGCATTGATCTTCTGTTACACGTAAGAGCAACATATGTGGGGGATGAGGTAAACAAGCTGAAAGCACTTAGCATGCCTGAAACAGCTGGTATTGACTGTACCTCGCCAATGGGAATGAACTTCCAAATGTGCACTTAAAAGCCCAGCTCACCACATTTGCTTCTCATAAAATCAGAAAATGCTTCGGCTCTGCAGATATAGTAATACAGCAGCTGTTTAACATACAGGGTGTAAATGAGAAATCATACATGAAGATTCCATTTTAAACTTAGTGCGAGGGTTGGAAAGAGACATAAGGTATAGACTTGAAGATGGAAGCAGTGATTACTTAGCACAGTGTCACTGATTTTTAATAATCCATCCATACATCCACCTTCAATAATACAGGGTCACTGAGCTTTTTGAATGTGTTGCACATATATATTAAATAAAATGATCAGATGATTGATTGGTGATAGATAGATAGATAGATAGATAGATAGATAGATAGATAGATAGATGATAGATAGATAATTTTATGTCTTGAATTTTTATTTTGTTGATTATATTTATTATATTATTTTTATGTCTGCATATTTAATTTTTTTTGTATAAATATACAATTATATTTACTGAAATCTGATTTATCTTATTATGTTCAGAAAACTAAAAGATAAGTGGATGAAAATATAATTTAGAATGATCAGAATTCTGCCCAGAAAAATAAAAAATACAACCTGATTATGCATCAATTAAAAAAACTGACTTAGGTAACATTTCCAGGAAAAAGGAATCTCAAAGAAAAAAAAAATGAAACTAAGAATTAAGTTCTTGGATTTGGCTTCAGTAAATACTCACCCAGCTGTGGTGATGTATAGCTGACCCTGGGCAGGGCTTCGAAATAATACATCTATCCGTCCCCTTTCCATGCCTGCTTGTCCTATGTAGGTGAAGGCAGTCCAGAGCCGGTCCCAGAATCAACAGGCACAAGGCAGGGAATGACCCAGGACGGGGCACCAACCCATCGCATGGCAACATATAATACAAATAATTATATCAATTTGCACTATAGCATATAATATATGTAAATTGTGGGGTATTTACGGCTGAGGAGAATGCTTCTAAAATAAATTACCACCTCAATGACATCTTCATTACAGACAATAGGCAAGTCTGTCTTTGTCTTATATGTTCCCATTAACACATTATCTATGCTGCTCAGCTCATTCATTCTGCTGGTTTTATTAGCCAACTGTTTCTCTCACACCTACACACATTTTATGAAGCTAATCTGACATTTGACTCCATTTAGTATGACACGCAAATTGGCTTACCTCAAAATCCTGGCATTTATTGAAATGTATACAGTCAAACCTGTAAAAATAATACAGAATATCTTTCTTGTGTTACCTATTGAAAGGAAATATATATTTATGGACTTTAATACATAACTCTTAAATGCATGACATTCATCAGTAGAGCATTTGTGTTTCTTTAGCAATATGCTTACCTGCTGTTTTTCACCTCTGGGTAGAATCAGCACCACACCGCATGGTTTCATTTGATTGAGTCGACAGAAATAAGGATCAGCCGCTTTGCGTTACCCTACTCCCAGCCCCAAATTGCTGATCCATCTCTGTTGTTGGGGGGGAGGGGTGGTATTTGAAGAAGCCATGATATACAGGAGCTAACTATAGATTTAACATTTGCTTTGAAAATCGACAGTGTTACTGTAGTAAAACAATTATCATCTCTCGCCAAGTACACGTTCAGAATAAAGGGTACAGCCCTGGTATAGCTTTCTTCCCCGAGGTACAAACAACATGAATGTACCCCCAATGGTACAAATACGTTCCTCAGAGTCCATTTCTGTACCTTCATTCTCTTCCTACATTTACAGCTAGGGTACAGTTGGCAGACCCTTAAGGGTACAGCCCCAACGACACGTAATTGCAACCTCAAAGGTTCAAACCGGTACTTTTTTTTCTGACAGTGTAAAATAAATAATGATTGTCATTCTCAGTATTAACCACTCCTATCTATATCAGCTACTGTATACTATACACCTGCACAGGATGTAACCCAGTGATATTCACACTGAATGTGGGATATTGACAGCATTTGTGGAGAGCTCTGTTCCAATGGCATTTTCATACACTGGACATTGAATTACAATGTAATTTCAGCATGTGATTGTCTTAGTACAGATTAGGAAATGAAAAGCTGGACGCCTCTAAGAGAATCCTAGTCTGTTCTCCATATCAGTAATACATTGTACAGAACACGTCTGTCCTGCAGGGTAAATACTGTCCGCCACAGGTAATGGAACCAGGCACCTGTGAACACACAAGGGTTTGTGATTGGCATCCTTACCCATCCCCCAAAAGGCCATTTGCTTTTCCTGACAGGAATAGTGACTGCTCTCACTGCTCCTAGTAATGAAACAGAAACAGATTACCTTAATTTTGTATATAAAACAAATGAATGCAAGGAATTGCAGACTTTTTGTTTGCGTGAGCAATAACTTAAAAAGTATTTGAAGGATCTTTTTTGAACTTTGCAGACACATTGTATGGGTAAGGAACTGGGACTGTGTGAATTTTGAGGCAAATCACTGCAGAACACCATAAGCAACAAAGGGAGGGGTGACTGCTGAGCACTATGCAGCACTATGCGACAGCAAAGTAGGGATGCCGTAGAAGACACTTAGTCTTGTGAACACAGTAATTCTAAAAGTATTTAACAGAACTTTTTCAGATGTTGCAGACATATTATACAGGTAAAGAATTGGAATCTTATTGTGTAATTTAGCCCTAGTTTTAGTCACACAAAATTGGGCTTTTAATAAAAGCTTGTTTTTGTAGAGATAGGAAGAGTGCTTTGGCGATATTATGGTAATATTTACAGTATTCTGCAGTGTTTTAATTCGGCAAAATATATCTTGGGGGACCTCCCCCCTGTCAAAGATACCAGAATAGCGTTGCTTTTGACACTACAGTCAAAATTCTGTATACCACAATATAATGTATGGATGGTATGCCATTATTAAGAATTAGATACCGCCCAAGTCTAGTGTAGGGGGTACAGCTAGAGATTGGGAGGGTGTGGGAGGAGTAGTCATTAGATTGGGGGGTGGGGGCTGTACAGGGGATACATTGTTGTCCTGCCGACAGCATCTAGTTTGCATATGGCATTGAAAATAGAGAGGACCCTTGGAGAATAATTCCAACAGGGGACAGTTTTTCAGTTCTTTGCAGGCTGAAGGCTGGCACCTGAACATACTTTTTCTTGCACGTTTGTCTTAGGCATTAAATGCAAAAATTGAACAAACATTACAATAACTTATTGAGTATAACGCTAAATAAAGACATTGTCACTGTCTGATGAAAACCACTTATGTCCACATTTCGATGATTGTGACTTATTATAGATGAAATATACCCATTCTCCTCTGCCTACTGATAACATTTGACATCCAATTGACCAATGAAATGATGTTTCATAAAGTAATTAGTATTAAAGTTTGCACTGATTAATATTTGTATTTATTATGGTTATACATATAGATTTATTTATATTGCAGATTTTAACTTTTTAAATTGATTCTAATTTGGTTCTTTAATAATGTTGATGGCTAGATAGCTAACATCATTGTTAATTGTGTAATATAAAGCAAGATTATTTAGTATTTTGTTGACTCTGACATGGTTGCCTAGCTGACAACAATCCAAATAAGTTAACACTCATGAAATCATGGACTTTTGAAGGAGTGTGTTTTTCAATGGACAACAATGATATTGTGCAGGGTTAAAGTGAAGTGTTTGTGTTCATAAAACACATTCGAGGAATGCTGTGTCTCATTAAAACACAAACACATAATTACATGAAGAAAATGCTGTACATGAGACTAGTACAAAACAGACCCTGCAGAATTAGCAGCAAATCTTTCGATAGAGTTTGACAAAGCAAGTGATAAACATGAAAGTATTACCAGGTGGACTAAAAAGGAAGCCAAAGGAGTTCTTTGTCGAATGAACTACATAGATACACGACACTGGAGCAGAAAGGAAATAGTCAATGATCTTTAATGTCAATATATACAGACCTTGGAAAAAAATAGAATCTCAAAAACATAATGAAATAAATACAATATGATACAATCTCTTTGAAGATTTTTTTACATTGAGGTCCCCTCTAAAACCATTTTTACCTTTAATTCTCACCTCAGCAGTAATACTGTACCATAAACACATCTAAATGTGCAAAGACCACTATATATCTTATTTGTTTTGACCTGTTGCAATATATAAAAAATAAATTAAAAAAAAAAAGGTTTTCAAGATGAAAAACTTCTAAAGAGGGAAAGACAGTGAGTGTTAAAATCACAGCTTTGCAAGGGTGACATTCTGACAAGCCATGTTACAAAACGAGTAATACATTTTATCTCATCTTATATTGATAAGTACTAGAAACACCAAAGCTGCAGTTCCGAAACACAAAAGAAAGCAGGATCATAGTGATGTTAATTGCATTCTGTAAAGTACACAGTGTATGATTAGGAATTTCTGAAACAACGGAACATGAGCTGCAGTGTAAAAACCATCGTTATCGGGGTTGGGTGAAGGGAGGGCTGGACTTTGCTTCCTGATATTAAAAATTGAACACACAGTGCACCAGTAGGCCAGTCACAGTACATGGGAAATATAAGCTGCTATTTCAAGCAGCTTAACGCTGATCCAGGGAATGTTTTTCCCAATAGAGCCAAAGACTGGATTTCATTAAAATTTGCAAACGCTGGACAGTCTGTCTGACCATTCCTCTGGGTACGTCCCTCTCAAAGGGTAATCAGAGTGCTGTCAGATGTGGGTGCCCACAGGCCGAGAAGCCGAAGTTAAAATAAATAAATCGGTGGAGTTGCCAGAGTGACAGAGGGGCGACAATGGACAGTGAAATAAATAAATTACTTAAGCAAACAAAGCATGGTAAAGGAATTGTCTCCCTATTGGCCACAAAGTTCATTTCTTGCTACATGTCATTGGAGGTGACCTTCTTCATAGTTCTGCGCTGGGCGAGACTCGAGGCTGCCACAGGCTCCAGAACAGGCTGACTTGCTTTGTGGCTCAATGCAGAATACGTTGCAGCCATAGCACCCTGTATAGAGAACAACAGGCAAACAAATCAGTTATATATTTTAATAAAAAACCCCTACCCTACCTAATGATGTGTTTTTAAATATCATAAGCATACTGAGCTGAGATGAACCATGTTTTGACTCATTATCTGGATCCTTTTCAGAGAGGACCTGAACTTGGGACTACGTGCTGTGTTGGGAGTACAAACTTGTTAACGAGGAATATTAACTAAAAACGAAACCAAAATAACTCTGTCTCTGATACGAAGCGATATATACAGACAGCACAGTCTGAGGAACAATAAAATCAAATGTCTTTTTTTTTGCACTGTGCTTTTTAAAAATCACCATAATTAAAAATAAATCCAGTAGATACTATTGACTTTGCAGTGATCTCACACTATAACATGTACTATCCTTTTCTTTCGAGAGAAGCACACCTAACTTATTATTTTATGTCAAGATACTGATGCGAATTTAACTAAATAATTAATGCAGTCAACACTTGTTCATTAAACTTCATTGTGAAGCAGCAACTGCACAGTACTTTTAATCAAAAGAATTTGGTCATATATATTTGAATAACATACAGGTGTTGATATATTTAGGTATACACATGTACACGTTTTGTGGATAACAGAAGTTGTGATTCAGGAATTAAAAAGACCATTATGGCAATTCAAATATCTTTTAAAGGCAGATTTCCTGAGCCAAAACTGCACAAACTACAACTGAACAATAAATACAACCGATGAGCATCTCTAATGATGGGAATTTTTAGAACCAGGTCCATCATGACAACTGACCTTGACAAGGTGGGGTGCATCGTGTCGCGTGAGCTGGAAGTGTGGAAGCTGGTCCCTGCAAGTGATCCACGGGTGTTTCAGGACCTGCTCGGCTGAGTAACGCTGGTGAGGATCCATGTGCAGCATGTGTGACAGCAAATCCTGCACAGAGATCACCACAAAAAGGGACCGTGAATAACAATGCAGAGAGCAGGAGGCCAATGACACACTAATTATTTTAAATCACAGCCGGTTATTAAAGAACCAAGATAGAATCAAGAATATAGGGGTATTTTAACTGGTTTTAATTCCAATTCATTCTATGGATTTAATGGGTTTAAACTAAATTTACATTGTTTATTACATACATACGGTGCAACTACAATATAATTTCTATAAAACAACACATAGAGCTATAGCTTCTCAATTCATCAATACAGCAATGGGAAAAATAGGTGATTGTATTACTGAGCAAGAATATTCTCCAGGAGACTATATTCAGAATTAAAAAATCTTTTCCCAGATAGACTGACTCATTTACATAGCTGATGTTATTCTCTGATTGGCTAGGTCTGTACAAATACATACTTCTTGTTTTCTACAATTGGACAATACCTCCTTGTTCAAGTTACAGAAGAGCGAGCCCTACCTTGGATGTGTCAGAGACAGTGTCCCAGTTGCCCCCACTTAGGGAAAACTTGCCACTGCCAATGCGCAGTAAGATTTCCTCAGGCGTATCATTGGGCCCATTGGCAAAAGGGGTGTAGCTGTGGAAGAATTTGCATAGAAAGTGGTCAGATGGCAACAGGTCAATATTCACAATCCACTTCAGTCCTTGAGGCTGCAAGAACCCATTCAGCATCCATAATCTACCACATCGTCACACAAAAAACCTCTTATAGTATCAAAAAGTCCATCCATCCATTCATCCCCGCTTAATCCTACAGGTTAGGTTAACTGACTTGATGAAAATACAGAACAAATTGAGGGTGTGTGTCTATGTGTGGCTGCAATTACATTTGAACTCTTAAGCACCTGAATGTTTCAGCACACAGTTCAAGAAACTTAGTCATTAATTCTCTGTTAATAAACAAGTTCACCATATCACCAGTACATGTAGCCAAGACCTTACCCCGCCAGCATAGTGTACAGAAGCACTCCTAGACTCCAGATGTCACAAGCAGCATCATATCCTTGGCGCATCAAAACCTGAAACGCATTAAAAATGGCTTTTCGTAAAATATCATAATCGGTTAACCAGAATCCCTTCACATGCACAAAAACATTACCTCAGGAGCGACAAAGTTGGCTGTGTAGCAGGGAGTGAGCAACAGGCCGCTTTCTCCACGTAGCTGCTTTGCGAAGCCGAAGTCACAGATGCGAATGGAATCAGGATTCCCCGAGTCGTCCATATAAAGGATATTGCTGGGCTTTAAGTCGCGGTGTACCACCTGCAACACAAACAGGACAAGCAGGCTTTACAGGTAAGAAAAACTATTCTTAAATTGATAGTTTTAAGAATATTACTTTAAAATAAAGTATACAGTGCAGTGGTTAAGGGCATGGACCAGAAGGGTGCCAGTCCTTAGTGGGGACTTTGCTGTAGTACAGTAAAATCCCGTTACAGTGGACTCGCTAATAACGAAATATCATCTATAACGGACGAGGTCCACTGGTCCCGGCTGTGCGCCTTTACGAACATGCAGAAAAAGCATCGGAAATAGCGAACTCGCATATGACGGAATTTCGCTTATAAAGGACAAACAATTTGGTCCCCAGGGCCGCTTTTAGCTGTAGTTTTGTTCGCTATACTGGACAATGAATTGTTCTTTTGAACCGATTCTTTTCAGTGATTCAGTCTAACTGTTTTTCAATTCTCAAACAAATCAAACTTTTTGTACACCCATGTATTGCAGAGGTTGAAGTGTTAGATTCCAAAAACCTCACCTCACCCCAATCTCGACCAAGAAGCTCATTAATAGTCAACTTGATAAGGAATGTGGTCAAAACTATAGAGTTGTGGGAAGTTAGTTTAATGGGGTGATAAGTCTAGACAGGAACTGTTTGGACTCATCGGATATGTTTGGCGTAAACCAGGAAAGGCTTATGACAAGGAGAACACCATCCTCACGGTGAAGCATAGAGGTCTTTAGTCCGGTTGTGCAAGGTCCACAATGTGGCTTCAAGGACTGACAGTCTTGACTTTCCATAACAACCATAATCCCAAACACACGTCAAAGTCAGTCACATCCTGGTTTGGGTATCAGTCCAACCAACTCATTGGGTATCAGTCCAACTTCAGTGGCCAACTCATTACCCAGATTCAAATCCCATTTAAATATCTGGTGGGATTTAAAGAAAGCAGAGCCATCAAGGACACCAATGAATGTCGGCAAGCTGAACACAACTGCATAGCAGGAAGATTCCAACAGAGAGGTGTCGAAGCTTGTGAGCACATACAGGAAATGTTTAATGGAGGTTATGAAGGATAAAGGGTTCTCCACAAAACACTGAGCTTTGGGGGATGAAAAATTATACAAATGGACGTGTGTGGAGATTATGATTTGTTTAATTTAAATTATTAGTAAACTTTGTTCATAGAATCACTCAAAAATATATTCTTTGTTTACTAAGGCCTTAGTTGAGATATCTTCATTAAATCTTACTCTCATCAACAAGACTATTTTGATTGTAACTGTATTAGAAAATGATGATTCTGGAAAATGAAATGGTGTGTCAGTATTTCTATTTCACCAATTCTGAGTATTTGACTATTTGGCATGTTTTTGTAAATAACAAAGTAACCTAATCTAAAATACCCGAGTGGTATTTGCTTGCTGTATGTAAAAAGCATGACCGATCGATTTAAATTTTAACTTATAAAAGTCATCTGAAAGTTCAATATCTATTACAGCCTGACAGTGATGAGACAAATAATGATTTAGGTACCCAAATGAGGCTGAGGGACCAACAAGGTTTTCAGGGTATATTCCAGAAAAGGGTTGAGCAACTGCCCTCTCAAAATGAATTCAGATTGAAACCATAAAATGTCAGAATATTTTTGCTGTTTCATTTTATTGAAACCTTGACCTGAGAAAACTGCTGCTCCTCTAATGCCTGAGTAGTTATACATGATAAGCACTCACCCCTTGGCGGTGCAGGTAATCCACGGTCTTAGTGATGATGTATAGAACAGCACTAGCCTCACGCTCGGAGAAATATTTTTGCCTGAGGATCTTGTCCAGCAGCTCCCCCCCCTTCATTAGTTCTGTCACAAGGTACACAAAGCGGCCCTCATCATATGCCTACAACACAGGGGGGGGCGGGGGAGGTTCCATTAAAAGACAGAAGTTAGTCATAGATGCAAAAAAAAAAAAAGAAATATGCACTTGGCCACAAGGTGGAGCTGATATTACTACTATTATTACTACTGCTCTTACTAGTAATACTAGAGGAATCATATGTTACATTTTATTATCAACAAGTAACAGGTAAACAATTACATTTGCAGTGTTATAATAAATGTATGTTTTGTATATAAGAATACACAATGGACAGGGAGATGATGTCTACATACATCTTTCAAAGTGATGATGTTGGGATGCTGCCCATATCGCATGAGGATCTCAATCTCCTCTGAGGGATCCCTCTTGCTTTTGTCAATGATCTAGAGTCAAAAGAAAATATTTAAATATACGGTTTTAAAAGCATTAAATCATTTAAATACACCAAGAAAGTAGTAATAGCAGTTATTTTATATTTAACAGTGTTAAAATAAAACCTTACTCCATGCTAAACTCATAGTTGTATATTTAAATGTGTGAATATTCAAAATGTGATGCAAACAGCCATTCTGCATTCCTTTGATGAACACTAATATTTGTGGGGCATGATCAAAATTGGGCAAGAGATAAAACACATTTCTTATTTAGAAACACAGATGCTAGCTAATTTAGAGCACACTGTATTGCACATGAATCTTACCCTATTGATATTTACTTGTATATTAGATAACGTGTTTTTTTAGGTTTACTTAAAGAAAAACCCTATTTTCCTAATCACTAGCTCTTGAACTGCATCCGATTTGAATAGAATAAGGAATGCTCAGACTAGTTAAAAACTCTTTATCCACACTTCACTCTATGGTCACAAAGTAGAATGCAGTAAACGTCACAAACAAGGTTAACCTTAACAGCAAACTCCATGTTATTGACCCGATGGATGCAGCGCTTGCATATGGAGTAGGAGCCCACACCAATGTCCTCTTTCAGTTCATACATCTCTGCAAACAGCGAAGAACTGCCGTGGAGCTGTAGGAGATAAGGCACAGCAAGATTTGGAGAAGATGCTAGAGGAGGAAGAATCTATCGTATGGTCTGGATTCAAATGTAGTTCGGTTTCAATGTGAACCGAAGTCAGCAGAGTTGGTGACCAATAAGGATAGGCGGCTCGATGCCGAAGTATCGATTCTTTTGATCTGGATGTTTCATTTTGAGAATTGATTCTGAAGGTAAAATAATTTGTTTATTTGGGAAATGTTAATATTATAATAGGGAGCAGGACATGGACTCCTACAAGGCAGGGCCATCTGTAGGGGAAGACTGCCAAGCACTAGAGAAATGAAATGACAGATATACCTGCACACAGACCTCACCGCAACCCCCAGCAAATTTTATCACCAGGATCGAGTTAGCACCTGATATCAGAATCGGGGATACAGACCTTGGTGTATATATATATAACCATTATACCACATACTGTACTCTCCCCAGCAACCATCATAAGTTACTAAGAGCTCAATACATTCTGGTAGCACTATCGGATGTACAGTCACCCAAATTTAGTCTTAAATACATTTACTTATTTTGTTTTTAATTTCAGCCATATGTGCGAGTAGCTGCAAGTTGGAAAGTAGGGGATAGTCTGTATAAATGACTGGCAAAAAAAGTTGACTACAAACTTGGGTGTTATGCAACATCCTTTATGCAACTGCAAGTGAAACATATGTGCAACCCATCTGCACACACATCAGCCGTCTTCAACTGGCAAGATGCAGCTTCTTATGCATGACAGCTAGCAAAACTGCAAGTAAAATACAGCCTGCAATATCCTCACTGTTCCACATTAAAAATGTTGCACTATTGCTATAAAAAAGCACCCTCGATCAAATATTTAATGTAGTTAAAAGTACAAACTTTCTTTGATCATTGGGTTTATGTAGGTTGGTTTGCATTATGACTATGGTTGATTATCACTTTGGCTCGTTGCAGCAGACATGCTTAGTCGGCGTAATACCTGCACAATGGGAAGGATGCTGATGTGTGCCGAGCTTCTTCCCTCCTCTAGGGAGGCTGGAGCCACAAAGCTGAAGCCTTTGAAGAGCTGGTGTGCGTTGGCACTGGGCGGGATGCCGGGAGAATCTGTGCACACAATCGCAAGCAATGCCAATACAAAACACTGCATGTCGCAAAATCAGTCAGCAGACAGAAGTCATTTTTATTGTAGAATTGCCAATTGTGTTGTAGTATCGGCAACTGGCATCTCGTATTGTAGTTCTGTAGTATTTTGTTTTATTTTAAACCTTCTGGAAAAGTTATGAAGCAATCATATAAATGGCAACATATAATTAATTTTAAAACTGCTGCGTCAAATAAGGCACACAACACAGAACAAGCTTCGGACCTTTTGGGGTTTTAGTTGTGAATTCTGGGTCAAAGCAAAATGTGTCGTCTGGCTTCCCTGCGGCTGGCTGGAATGGAGGTTGCAGTTCTCTCCTGTACAGTTTCTGCAGGGTAACAGGGAACGGCACAAGCTCATCTGCATGCCCAGCTTCATCTTCCTCAACGTCATGTACATAGAATATTCCAGCTTCCTTCCACAACCCAGAGTCATGCCGTCAAGTTCAGTTATGGAAGGCCATCGATAGACTGCATGCTTCCCATTATTAAACACATCAACCATAAGAGGATAATTGCATAAAAAAAAAAAAAAATCAACTTTACTATGGACAAAAAAGTAGATTAGGAAAGCAGTAACAAACGATAAGGTTGTATATTATAGTAATGCTCATTTTTAAATATTTAAAATGTATCTGAATTCATCCACCCATTTTTGAACTGCTTAGGCAGTGCAGGCTTCCGGCAAAGCCTGGTGCCTATTCAAGGCAGCAGAGGGAATAAGGGTGTGGTTCACTCTGGATGGTGAGCCTTATAAACTCTACATGGAAACACAAGCTGGACAAAAGAGATCAGCATCCAGCATAATTTCTTTCTGTATGCTGAGCAAAATTACCGCAGCTACTAGCTCACTTGTAACTATTAAGAATACTCATGACCTACGTATGAGTGGTTAAAACCCCTACAGGAAGAAAACCTGCATCATCTATGATCACTCACTTATGGCGCTTTTTCACTGCCACCAGAAACCAAGCCGCACCCGACCTGTACTTCGAACTGACGGCTTAACATCGCAAAAATATGCAAGCTGTAACCAAGTGCTGCTTAGTAGCAGGGCTGAAAGCATGACCAAACTGAGTTGGGTGCATCACTTCCATCTGATTGGTTGAATTGTATATAGTACTTTATGGGTTAAATGCATGGGACGCATTTCATTGTTGTGCACTGTGTGCTGTGTTGTGTCAACGATGATCACTGATCTCTAAATTCAATTCTAAATAAGTGTCTTTTCATGTTTACGTCACTGCCGCTCTCCAAATTCGGCAACGCCTTTACCGGGCCGACCCTTCTTCAGTGGAAAACCAAAGAGAGCTGGAACCGTGCCGTAACTAGCCTCTCTTTGAGATACGGCGCGGCTCCTATATCCCTGTGGAAAAGCACCACTATAATGGCTGGTACTAACTGGGAAACATGACACACATCCTGGCTGCTCTCCATTGCTGCGTATGGAGAGCTAACCATTGGTGAATGGAGAGGCGGGGCCTTCTCTTTTTGCTAGGCTAGTTGCTGTTGGCTACTAATCGTGCCTCAGTGAGGCCATTAGCATATCCCTGGAGTCCCTGCTAGCTACCTGGCAGACTGTTACACTTACTACTTACATTCCAGTCAATGGTCGAGAAAAATGGATGCCGCTTGATCTCCTCCACCCCATCTGAGCCTGCTCCTGTGAGATGGATGACCAGACTAACATATAAACGATGCAACAAGAGAACTAATGACCAAGGAAAGTAATAAACAGTGATGTCAACTCTCACAAACCTTCCCAAAATAATCTGTACATTCTCCTAAATGCATATTTTAAATACATCCATCACTGATCTTTATTTACTTCAGAATATGCAGTTATAAAGACCACCCAGTTTTGGGTATAGCATGATTTAAGTCTTGATTTTTTCCATAAGACAGCATTACTAGCGAAGCTTATTTTTATTACTACAGACTTTTAAATAATGTTCCACAAAAAGAAAAGACAGAACAGAAACATACCTAGACGATTAGCTGGGTTCCTCTTAAACAACATTCTCAGAAGACTCTGCGCTTCCGAGCTTAAAAACTGTGGCATTCCCAGTTTAGCTCTACGGACCAGAGAAAGGGCAAGAGCGTCAGGGTCATGCTTTGGGAAACGAATGAAACGTATGAAAGGACCATCGCACTGCTTACTTCAGAATCATGTTCATGGTCTCGCTCCTGTCTTTGCCTTGAAATGGTAGAGTACCAGTCAACATTTCAAACTGCGAAGGCAAAAGATAGAGTTCTATTAACATACACGGTACTTTGCAAAAGTCATAGGCTGCCAATATACCCATGTATTTGCTGACTCAACCATGTTTGGCTAATCAATACCCATCATAAATTATTTAACTTAAGTTAATTAAGTGAGCTGGTGGTGAAATATAATTGATATCAAACATTGAATGGCTGAGGTGCCTCTGAGAAGATATTTTGGAACTGGTGTTCATCTAGCCAGTCAACAAAAATGAATAAATAAATAAATAAAATCAGTAAATTATTATTATAAAATCAGAAACGTTGAGGAAATACGCACTTGCTATCCAGATGAACAGTTTTTAACATTGTCTTCTACGCTCCAAGACATTCATAGTACTGTTTATATGTCTCATTACAAAAATGACGTATACTACTTTCTGTGGAATGACACGACATTCTACGATCTGCTGGTGTTAATTGTTATCTAGATGTGGTACCCATTTATTGCTGTAAAACTATATAAACAAAAAGATATTTAATTCAAATTTAAATGCAATATTTGTACGATGAGAGGCCCCAGAGGAAACAAAGCAAAATAGCAACACAGATATTTTAAATATAATCAGTGAAGTGCAACTATGGTTTTCCGGTACGAAATACATAGAGGGGTATAACGATACAGTCGAATAGTGATTCAGCTCAATCGACAGTTCAGGGCTCACGGTTCAATACACTCACAAAATATTCAACAAATTCAGACTGAAAGCAAACTATGATCTGACAGTTCTTATTAATTCTTTTTTAGGCATGCACATCTACATTTAATTTTTTTTCTTGCAATTTATCCCCTTATTTTCCAGGGCGAACGGCAAAAATCTCAAATTAAAACTTAGTTTCTGCCTATTGCACCCATATCATATTGCAAAATATCATGTAACAGCACATTGTCACACTCCTAGAAATAATTACATTTATATAAATATATATATATATATATATATATATAAATAAAATCCATAAATAAGACCTCACAAAAGTTTATATGCAGTATAAAATACTTACCATTAGAACCCCTAGGGACCACCAGTCAGCACTCTGGGTGTGGCCCCTTCTGTTCACCACCTCAGGGGCCATGTACTCCACAGTGCCACAGAACGAGTAAGCTTTCTTATCCTGATCAACTGATTCTTTACTAAGCCCGAAGTCTGCAACAGAACCACAGCATCATTAGTCAGATAACACACTTAAGAAAAACTGTCTACTGAGCAATTCATGTGTAAAATATTAAATATCTTTAATATGGATGCAGGTGCGCATAACTGAAGCAGTGGATGAGAAAATCTCATCCACTGCTTTTCATGGATTGTTTTAAAAATATACATTCAACTTAATTCAGCTGAATTCCAATACTGGCAATCAATGAACAAAATTTCAGTTAACAATGTTTTATGTATGCATGCACAAAACACAGCACACCACTAAACCACAGATACATAAACCACACCTACCTGTTAACTTGATATGTCCAGCTTCATCAAGCAAAATGCTGAAAATTAAAATCAAATTCTCCAATACAGGTACACAAAAACATTCACAAATACAAATAACGTTACTTAATTAAAAAAAATATATAAATATATTAATATCATAAATATATATTTGTTTCTACTCTGACCTTAGAAATCTTAGAAATTAGACAAAAGTTGATTCTAGCTGAACAACCATAATGTATGCGTTAAACTGTTCACATTACAAATCAACAACCATTGAATATTGCCCATAAAAGGCATAAATAGGCAAACCAATTACAATCAACTTGATGTGTGTGATGTAACTGAACTCCACTATTCTATGAGTGGAGACGACCTTCACATGTATTGTGGAAGGTAGCATGAGGGGTCTTTTGGGTAGGGGTCATAGGGAATGTGGTACTTTACTTCTCTGGCTTCAGGTCTCTGTAAACAATGCCCAGATTGTGAAGATGGTCCAACGCAAGGGCCAGCTCTGCAAGGTAGAATTTCACATCCTCCTCTGTAAACATAACCTAATAAGAACTGGACAGATTTACCCTCTGATCTCTGTTCACACACACAGACAAGACAAAGAATTTACAATTCAATGATTTCTACAAATGTGGAAAATTAAGTTGTTAAAATCAGTACAACAGACAGATATATTCAAAACGTTATGAATGTTCACAGTAAGAAATAAGAAAAAAAAATCAGTAACACTCTTGACAGTATTAAGAGACATTTGATGGTTTACAAGAAATATTGTCACAAAAAGCAAGAAGAAATAACTTACACAGGAATATTTAAACCACATTCAATTAGGTGAACTAAATTGCCTACTGTTTAGCCTATTAAAAGTTATTTTTTTAAGTCCACTAAAATGTAAAGATGCAAAGATATTATATAACCTTTATGATTCAATACTGTAGTGCAAGTTACAATGGTAGATCATTCCGCAATTAGCAAATTGTGACTCGCTTCTCAAAATATGGTTGTTAGTAAAGATCAACTATGTTTATTTCATTACAAAATAAATATGAAACAGCACATTTCTTTTCAGTAATGCAACCTCAGTAAACAAAATAAATAAATGAAAGAAAAGACACGATAATCAGGTGATCTTAAAACTACACAACTTGACAAAAAAATGAATTGTTATAGCCACAATATCAAAACAATGCACTTATGAGTGAGTTTATCAGAACTGGAAAAGCCGAACCTATACATTAGCGGGTATGATACCATCCATCTAAAAATAGACAATAAAAAGTGAACAATGACCTTACCTCTTTGGATAAGCGAGTAAATACATCTCCACCCCTGAGAAAATCCAAAATCAAATATAGCTTTCCTTCTGTCTGAAAAGCTGTAAGATAATTATACTGTTAAAAGGAGCAAAAGATACGTTCTAACAATTCTAATGATTCTAACACTGTTTCATGATTGTGTGCTTGAATGGTACCAATTAAGCGCATACTTTCTAACGGGCACAGGAAACAGAAGTGTTTGGCCAAATATATATATAACTATTAAACAGCAAAACTAAAAATAAGAATACTAAAAACATTTTGACGACGGATGAATATAAAACTCTTCAGAGCACACAGAAAATACATAAAATGTAAACACTAATGGGGAAGTAAACAACTCACCATAGTGCAATTTTACTATAAAGGGGTGATTCACTTCTACTAGAATATCCCGTTCCATTTTTGTGCGAACACGGTCTCTAACTGTTGAGACGAAACATTTAAATGTTATACACATAGATACAGGTGCTCTTCATAACTTTTAAGTCTATGTGCCATAAAATAAAAAGTCTTCAGGGGCTCAATTTTTAATAACATTAGTAAAACAGCAATATGCAAAAAGCTATCACTCAGGAAATTACCAAGAAAATTCAAATGTACTTGAATATTATTTGAGCTGTAAAACAGATAACTCCTCAGATATATAGGTGACATTAACAGAAAAACACAAATAGTTTTCCAATTTCTTCATTAGTTTTAATGGCAAATAGATATTAAGCCACAAATGAAAAGAAACAGCACCAGAAAACCAGCTGGAAACCTAATGAAATGGAATTTAAATTTTCGGTATAACAATAATGTTAAATCAAATAACGGTATGTTCTTGAAGATTAATGGTTTTCCCATTTTGAATTTAAATGCAAAGAGGCTGTTGTATATTGCACATTTCATGCCATTTTGCTAGACAAACTGTACCGTAACGTAACCGTACACTGGGAATGTACCCATGTGCACATACACTGGGAATGTACCCATGTGCACATACACTGGGAATGTACCCATGTGCACATACACTGGGAATGTACCCATGTACACACATACACTGGTAATGTACCCATGTACACATACACTGGTAATGTACCCATGTACACATACACTGACATAAAATGATATCATAAAGGACAAACATGCTGATACTTTTCTGGCCAGACACACCTTTTAAAGATGCTTTCTTCAACACTTTCATTGCATAGAGTTGTGCAGCATCTGGACCGATGACCTTTCGGACAAGAAACACCTAAAACGGAGGAGTATGCACAATTCTATTCAGAAGTTATGTTTAATTAAGTCCAGTGTAATGGAGAGATAAAAAAAGAACAAAAGACAGTCACCTCCACCATATTACAATTAAAGCCTCAAAGTTACCAGAGGCCTCTTAAAACAGCAAGCAGCCATCTTAAAGTTTTATTACAATAGTTAAAGAATTTCTTGACAAATACAAGCATGTTACATAGTATGGCTTCTAGCGCTGTTGCGATCAGGTTGCCATGTAAGTGTGATTATATGGCGCATGTGTAATAACCTCCAGGGATTTAGATGATGGGTGAAACACGTGTCCGGACGCCGGCTTTTCGGTACTAAACATGACGTTAACTTAAGCCAACAATTTAAGCGGCTTAGTAGTGTGCGTAAAATGTTAATGAGATGCTTACTGTGATGCATCGCAGTCGCGACACCCCTAACGACTTTAACCCCACCCACCCCTCCTTACATCACAAGCAGCAGGACATGCCCACCTTTCCAAAGGAGCCTTGGCCCAGCACTTTGAGTAGCTCGAAATGAGAAGGGTCTGCCTTCTCACAGCCCTCCTTCACATGATGGGTGATGGGGATCTCCTTGTAAGCACCATCATCCTGTGGAGGTATGGACACCACATACAATTTACCTTCACCTGCTAAGTACAGGTTCCACGTACTTTTCCGTATCCCATAGAACGCACCCAAGAACCACTCACATTATTGCTAGATCCTAATACGACTCCAAGTCATCAGGGAATAAAAGCTGAATATAAACCAGTTCCACTGAATAAATTTTCTTGAATTTCACCTACCACTATAATCAAGCAAGCGATGGAATATGGATTACAAGCAGGAATGCACATAACTGGTACAGAATTACACATTCACCATATAAATCAATATGCACAGAAATATCTTCTAGTAACAGCGCAGATGCAAACTTATTTTGTGTGCATTTACCCTACTATGACAAGAAATTACCATGTATTTTAACCTTTATACAACGAATGAAGTATGAGTTAGCTGTATAAAGGTTAAAATGCATGCTAATTTCTTCTCATAGCAGCACAATTGCACATAAAATAAGTATATATTTCTGTTACAACAGACTAGCGCATGTATCGCTTACGGCGAATGTGTAGTTGTGTACCAGTCATGTGCATTCCTGACAGTAAGTCACTAAGGTCTCAGAACTGCCTGAAAAATAAGTCTGGTTAATTTGGGATCTTTAAAGGACATCAATACTGCACCATTCCAGAAGATGCTCCTCACAACAGCAGAAATCAGGAACATGGGGTTGTTAGGGGGCAAATAATCCTGCATTATTAATAGGACTATAACAGTGATAGAACACTGCTGTGAGTATAAAACGGTCAACAAAGGAACCCATAAAAACAAAGGACTAGTAATCAGCTTAGCAGCAGGAAGGCCTTCCTCACAACAGCCAAGCACTCAATTAGCTGAATTATTAAACACATTCAACATGCTGAATGCAGGATCTATGTTTATAAACAGTGGATCAGAAGTTCCTTAAAATTTTACTAGAGATCCCCACCTAGGGCTGTCATGATCATTAAAATTTTGGTTGGCGATTAATTGTCATATTAATAATTGTGATTTAATTTAACGATTTAAGTCTTTCCCTGTTCATTTTATAACACTATCAGCCTAGAGTTAGTCTAATGATTATTTATTATTAAACTTACACCTCATAAACCTAATATTGAGTATTGGAACATATAAAAATTGCACCTGCCTTTTACGCTTAGTAAACAAAAATTGTACAGGGCTGATATGACATTAACAAATAAGAACTTAAATGCTTCGAGATAAATAGTTGGTGTGTTCCCTCTTCCTGACCCATAGCACCCACCCGATTTTACCTCACACGTCTGTACCTCCCAATCCACTCATCCTGCCATTTTACTGCAATTCATATTTGCTACATTTACAGCAAACGAAGCTGGACAACTTAGTGGAATTAAGGTAGTTTGGTGTAAATATTAAACTGGGGATAATCTGACAAGTTATCCAGCTAAGCAAGAAATCCGGCTTTGGGAAACATGACCTCTGGTGTTCATGATCTGGTTAACATCTATTTTCTTTGCTTGTCATTTTAAGTGTTCACTTCGGTCATTTATTTCCAGTTTTTGGGTCAACATTATTACCTAAATATCCCATATCTGAAATGTTCACTCTAAAGTGAAATATAATGTTTGGTATGTTTGTTTCAGCCATATTTATATACAGGGGTGCACGTAACTGGTATGCAAGTATGCATTCGCCATATATGCAAATTAGTATTTATTTTATGTGCATTTGCGCTGCTATGACAAAGAAATCACTGTGCATTAGCTTTTATACTGCGAAGGAGGTACATATTAGCCACATAAAAGTTAAAATGCACAGTAATTTCTTGTCATAAAAGCGCAAATTCAGATAAAATATGTATGCATTTGTGATGGTACAACGTGTATCGCTTCACGGTGAATGCGTACTTGTGTATCAGTTATGCGCACCTGTTTATATCACTCCAAAGTGGAATCAGAAATAAATGGAAAAAAGAGCATACACCTCTCTATAGTTCTTTGTCTTTAATATACTGACTTTGCTGCGGCATAATAGAGGCAGCCGTCAGGGATATATAATCATCCCACTGTAACGAATTAATAAAAACACACTCGGACACAAGTGCATGTGCTATGCAGAACTTTCATACAACAAACAGGGAACACAAAGAATCCAAAATTTGAATATCTGGCTGATATTCTGGGCTGGTGGAGATCATGTACACGCAGCCTGTTGTGAACTTTAAGTAGTGAAAGGAAATACTAACGGGATCAGGCTGGGTTATGAGAGTTTTGTAAAGCGAAGAGGTACAAATCGGGCACCGTCGTAAAATTTGCAATGAATTGTAATGCTGCGCATGTGCAGACGTGCGAGAAAGTAATTGAGCAGGCAGTATGCATGGGTGCAGAAATGGAACAAGATGATGTCATTAAACAAGCACCAGTCAAATATTACAAGGTAGAAAACAATGTGGAAGTAGTGAAAGAAATAAGGCAGTTCTGTCTCATCCTGCTATTCTTATACAGATGAATGAAGAACTCAGTTAACATAGTTCTCACAACAATAACAAGGTGTTAACAGATGTGGTCCGAATTTAGGGTGTAAAGATGCATCAGGATGAATCGATTGTTAGGTGGCAATTCAACTGTGTTGATCTGTAACATCAGAACTGATTTTAGGGGGCAAAATTCTCCTTAAGAATACTACTATTTCCGGGTTATTTGATTTGCAGGTAGATGCGACATGCAAATTTCATAGGACAGCAAGAGATGGTTCATTAGTATTCATAAAGGAAGTGCAACCAGATGTAGCAGTACCACTGGAGATAATGGGGGCAGTACCACTGGAGATAATGGGGGCAGTGTAGTAAACAGTTCAAGTGAGACACTGCGAGATACGAAAAATTTTGAAAAAAGCAGAACTTTCTGAAAAGCAACTATGCGATTTGGTGCAGAATATTAGACATTTACATGATGTTACTCCGCCCAGGCACAGAGACAAAGCTGGGAGGAGCCTGGACAGGAATTAAATTCCAGTTGGACAGTAGTGAAGGAAAAGTGAAGGTCTGTCAAATTACTTTTGACTCTCCTGCCCTCTAGTGGATGTATTGCTTAGCATCCATGCCAACGGCGTCAAGGGACATATGGAAGCATGTGGACAGTGACGATTACATCATTTGAAATGGACATGCTTATTTTCGTACATAAAGGACACATAAATGAGCTTTTAGCCATAGAAATGCACAAGGTATTGATTAACACATTGGTATAAGTTGATATACATTAAAAATACATATCAGTATAAGATCAATGTGTCAATCTTGGCCTATATTGCTGGCTGATATGCAAACTTTATCAATATTCAAAGTTAGCGGCAGCAGAGCTAAAAACATAGCTACTACAATAATGGAGATGATTCCACTGGGCAATCCACCATTTTCCAAAGTGGAAGGTGAGGAATTTAGATCACGAAGTACCGACTGGCAGCATGTTTATAATTCAGTAAATCTGGCCCGGAGATCGATATTTTGTATCACACAGAATAAAAAATGACATAATCTGTCAGCAAGCCTGGCACCCCCACAGCCATTTTCCCCTGTACAGTTCAGTAGTTAGCCTGTTGACAGTTTGCTCTGAATTGTTCTCCCTGAGTAATA